TCATTGAACGTGAGGCGACGAAGCAACTAGTCAATATTGTCATACAAGCTATCAAGAAAACTCATTCGGTCTCTAATTGATGACAACGATGAAGGGGTAGCAGTCAAAACTCCTAATTTGGAAAAGTTGTCATAAACTTGAGTGATAGACGGATGTGATGGAACGGAAAAGGTAAGAGAACGGACATGGGGACGGGCTTTCGATCTCAATGGTGATGCTGCCATTTTTATAATTTTTTTGGTTCTTCGTGTGTTGGAGCTCCATCTCTCTCATTTGCTTGTTGAAGTGAACAAAAGGATTCTTGATTTATGTTGTCCTAAATGAGCAACATGATTTTGATCTAGATTTACCTACTACACTGGCTATGTCCATGCACTGTTTGCCACCATCAGGGAATAAGATCATTAATCATTCGTATTTAAAAAGTTTTGGAGGATGATCCATGCAACTAATTGGTGCATATACGCACGAGGGCGGAACATTGTCAATTGTTAAATATCCTGCCTCCTCAACAATGAAAATGCCAGCACTATTATTCCTCTTGCCTAAGNGTAACCTGGAAAACCAATTTCCACCAAATCCACAAAACCAAGGAAAATGTGACCATGTGAGGCAAACCAAGAAAATGAATTCCCCGGAAAAAAAAGTGTATCAAACAAGGTAAAAGTGAAAGTTGGAATTTATTTTCCATACAAAATAATGGCCTATCAAACAAGCCCTAAGTGATTTTTAAGTTAATCCTCTTGTGCGTCTTCTTATACGTTTGTTTTGTGACTAATGAGTGAGTGCAAGTCAGCATTCACCTTGTTGAACTCATTTGATCTTGTTCATCTTCATTGGATACTTTCTTGGTGTGCATCAGCTTAGATTATCAAAGAGCTACTGTTCTCACTCAATGCAACCTGCTTTGCGCCGATAATGTAGGCCAACAGAGACTCTAGTGTGGCCAGAGTTAGCTTCGGCTTCATTTAAACAAAATCATTATTTTTTTATGAGTCAGGTGTCCAAGTTTCGCCCGACTAATCCTGAGGAGTGACGGTCTTCCGCCTTGGTTCGCCACCTGGGTAAATCCGAATGCGATCACGGCTTATACACACTTGAGCCGAACATTCGAGAAGCGGTTCTCCTCCTTGTGGATCTCTCTTTACGACGTACGGGCAAGACCCCTGGAGGGGCGACAAAGCGCACCATAACTTTGTCACCACAGGACATCTGTCTTCCAACATAAATGTTGCCTTACAACTGACGCGGGAATTCGAACCTCCGATGCTCCGTTCATACTGAATGTTCTTGTCAGAGGCTTGGAAATTGTGTTTGTCACTGATTTTAAGAGACTATATAATCATCTTTTCAAGTTTATTCTCGAGGTCAGTTAGACACGAAAATCATTTGCATCCCTTCTTCTGATAGCAGAAAGAAGGTCTTGTACATGTTGCTTTACAACCGTCCAAGAGCCTGACATACCCGTCCAAGATTTCATCAACGCATTTATCTACGAATTCTTGTGAAACTATTCATTGAACGTGAGGCGACGGAGCAACTCGTCAATATTGTCATACAAGCTATCAAGAAAACTCATTTGGTCTCTAATTGATGACAACGATGAAGGGGTAGCAGTCAAAACTCCTAATTTGGAAAAGTAGTCGTAAACTTGAGTGATAGACGGATGTGATGGAACGGAAAATGTAAAAGAACAGACATGGTGACGGGCTTTCGATCTCAATGGTGATGCTTTTATAATTTTTTTTGTTCTTCGTGTGTTGGAGCTCCATCTCTCTCATTTGCTTGTTGAAGAGAACAAAAGGATTCTTGATTTATGTTGTCCTAAATGAGCAACATGATTTTGATCTAGATTTACCTACTACACTGGCTATGTCCATGCACTGTTTGCCACCATCAGGGAACAAGATCATTAATCATGTCGTATTTAAAAAGTTTTGGAGGATGATCCATGCAACTAATTGGTACATATACGCACGAGGGCGGACCATTGTAAATTGTTATATATCCTGCCTCCTCAACAATGAAAATGCCAGCACTATTATTCCTCTTGCCTAAGNTGTCGTATTTAAATAGTTTTGGAGGATGATCCATGCAACTAATTTGTACATATACGCACGAGGTCTGATCATTGTCAATTGTTATATATCCTGCCTCCTCAACAATGAAAATGCCAGCACTATTATTCCTCTTGCCTAAGCCTAGGCCTAGGACTTCATATGTTTCCCAAAAATTTCCTTTTGGGATGGAACCGCGTTGTCTTGTCCCCATTTTCCATTTCGTTGTCCCAACGGTTATTTCTCGATTAAATTTTTGACATATCAATTGTCGAATCTTGTTAGTTAATAAGATGATGTACCAATACAACACACTACAAGTGACATTGTTGTCAAAAATTTAGTAAGAGAACGTGTTTCGCGAGGGTTGTCGCTAACAATCAGAACGGTTCTATACAGATGCACTACTAAAAAAAAAAGACAAAACATCTAATATGGAATAACCATGTTGGCGTGGAAATGGAAACACCTAATATTCTTCCAAATGTCTCTACATTAGCCAATATTTTATTTTAGTGCACGAGTGACATTGACATTCTAATTTCTATTGCATATAATCACCCCCACGAGCGACGTGAAGGATTGCACAAATAAATTATCTGCAAAATCAATGGAAAACAGGCTGGTAGGATCTGCAATATCTTTCAAATGCCCTGAAAATATGGTAGGTGAGTGTCACAAGATTATTCAAATCGTTAACCAAACAAAATGACGACCCACATATTATCCAGTTGAATAATGTAGATAGCACTGGTCCATGTGATAGTAGGTCCGCTGTCTTACTATCCAAGAAAATATATATATCAGAAAATAGTTATCGAATAGAATCAAGTTTCGGAATACCTTGCGAAGGTATCATTGTGCTATTCACAAATAGTGATCTTAAATCAACTAACATTTCAACTGCTACATTGCTCATAAAGTAGAATAGATAAATTCCTTGTAACCTCATTACTTGTTTAACGTTCGGCCAATGTGATTAATGTTCCTACCTTCTCAACAAGACCTCCCGAGTCGAGTGAAGTACCACGTCTTCCCCCCCAGCTTCCCAAGCAATCTATCTGTTAGCCCAAGTTTTCTTCCATTGCGTCATAGACTGCAACCTTACGTTGGTGCAACCACCTTTTGAGAGCCAACCACGTAGTTTTCTTATCATCACCATCGAATTCAGGGGTCATCACATTTGTTCAGCTACTATTGGGAATTTATCTTGAGCGTCCACGTAGTCAACTATTTGTAGGGAAATAAGTTCTATCTCAAAAGGTTAATCCACGAGATAAAGTAGCACAGTCTCGAGTCAATTGCTTATTCCATACTTGGCCAATATAAAATTCTACAGCACTTTCTAAACTGTCAATACACCCACTATCCAATTTCCATTCAAATCATTATCCCCTATATCTCACGATTTGAACTTTGTCTTAATCATGCAAGAAATGGACACTGCTGCTGACTTGAAATGTAATCATCTGCCTTTCACGTTATTTCTAGTTAGAATTTTTTTTTTTTTAA